GATAGATGCATAAATTAATTCTTTAAATTCTCTAATAACCATTGTAATTGTCTATGCTAAATTGATTGTGATTATGCCAATGCTATATTAGAGATAATTAGTATTGTTAAATTCCATTGTTTCTATCACAACGAGGGTTGGATTTTAACGGAATTGAGTAAATTGATTTAGGATTTGAAATTCAACATGAGAATAGTTGAACGGATAATTGGGAATTGAAGTAAAGTGTTTAATGTCTCTAATTTGCATGATACCATGAGAATAGGCTTGATTGTGGGTTAGGGAAGCCATTGATACTCGAGAGAGGTCCTTGGTATAATTGCATCGATCGTAATTGTGGTGATACTTGATCTTGGATGTTTTAACTTATTGATTCATTATATTCGTTTGATTTATTCTAGTTTTCCATACTTTAGCTCTTAGTTATTTTACCATTGATTGATTCTTGCTTGGTAATTACTTGAGTCTAGATAAATTGGGTGAACCATAGTCTCTGTGGGATCGACCCTAACTTACCCTGCTACATAATTAGGAGGAGTAGTTAGGTTATTTTTGCTAGGTGTGCGACCACCTACTAAATTTCCTGATTGATGACTAGTAGAGGGGTATCATTCCTTGCTGGGTTGTCATAGTAGTAATTTGGATACGGAATGTGTAAGCGCTCGCAATGATATTTCTCAACTCAAATGAGGTAAGAAATCAAGTATCTGTAATCAGGATACCATTGTCCATAATAATCTTTGTATTTAGAGTAATTTAGGATGTCTCCAGGTAAGTAGAAATCAGAAAACTTTGCTTTGACAGCAAGATACGGGGGTTCGTCTAGAAGACAGTGAATTATCATAGCTGAAACACGATCAGGAAGGTCATAATGCTTGTCTCCTAAGACATTGCTCATGTGTGAACAATAAAAACGAATTTTCTTGACATAGTCAAAGGGATGTTCAAAATCTTTCTTAATTAGAGAACCAATTTGAGAGTTTTTGCTAGGAAAGATTGGCATCCTGTAAAGGAAAAGACTTAGAAAAGAATTCCCTTCCCAAAGAAAATAAAATAACACAATTCTTGCATGAATTTAGGTTCAATGTTCAATCAAACAATTTTACTTAGTTCTAGTCACATAATTACATGCTTCCAATCAATCAATTTACATGATTAAACATCACAACCTAAATATTAATGCATACAAGAACATGATTATTTCTAACTTATATGCCCCAAATTCTTTCCTACCCAAGCTTACAACATGCTTTTTAAAGCTCTTAACACATAATTCTTGCCTTAATCCTTCTCTTTCCTACAAAATGAACAAATTAAAAATTATTTTTGACTCCTCTTTATTAAAAGAAAATTTTCTAAAATAAATTCAGGAAAGGCCAAAATTTCGGCCATAATTAAAAAAAAAAAAAAAATCGGCACCCCAAGTAAAAAAAAAAATTTGGATTTTTCCCAAAATAAAAAAAAAATAAATAAATAAAAAAAAAAAAAACCTCAGACCTTTAAAAAAAAAGGTAATTTAATTAAAATAAAATAACTCACTTTTAAAATTACTCAATTAAATAAACACTTGGCCAAGTTTAAAACAAAATATTTTAAAATACGTTTTTGGCTTTAGTGGTAATAAAAATCTCAACCTAAGCTCCCAAATACCACTTTGTAACACCCTACAAATTACTTTCCTTTAAAATACCTGTTTTGCTCCTTTAAAATACGAAATAGGAAATTCTAAGACATTACCGCCACCATGAAAACGGCTAAGAAAATTATAGAGGTATCAAAACCACACAAGACCTGACTCGACCCGTTCCGAAAGCGACTCGAAAAATATCCGATTCAAATTTAGACTCGTGTGGACATAATAATTTAACATGACTCAACTTTAAAGATTGACCCGACCTGACCTCCTCAGACCCGATCCGATCATCCGAATTAACACCTTTAGACAATTATCAAAGACACACAGCGGAAGACTCACTTTAAGACCATTCAAAACAAGTTAACTTAAAAAGTGAAACCAAACGAAAGTAAAGTCAAACCAAAGTAAAACAAAATCAACCTACAACTTGGAACCATTGTAGGCCCTTATCAAAACCCAAAACGAATATTAAAACCTTTGTGTCAGTCTCACAAGAAAATATATAATAATCAAAGTGAATAAACACATCATATTTTTATGGAAACTAAACAAGAATCACTCTTCACTCATGCCCATCGTGAATATACTTCATCACCTGAAAAAATTTATTTACTTTGTCCCCACTACTCGCTATTAGAAATGGGTCATCGTATAGCCAAGATAAAGACGAGACCAAACAAACATACAAACACACAATCAGCAAAGTTGAGTACATAAATGTAAACAGTACACACTAACATGTTTTTATCTTATCAACATACAACTTACCTTGTTGCACCTGTTTACAAGCATACAACACAACCAACCAATAAATAGCTAAATAAATTGCTTATTTAATTTGATTACGCATCGAACGGATTTCCCACCAAATTCCTGCCCCAAATAAATTAAGGTAAACTACACCGGAAGCTAATCAGGTAAGCAAATGTCACATGAAAGTGACGGGCGTTGGCGCATAAAATAAATAAAGAAAAATACAGCGTCTTGTACTCCCAGTATAAACTATGGTTAAATATAAACCCCATAATTCCCCCCATACGTTCATACTCAAGGTATATACGTTCCAAGAGTTTTAATGCATAATCTCTTTCACTTTAAGTTGTTTACATAATTTTAGACTTGGAGATGACTCTCAAACCATAACACAATCAATCATTATAAAGCATTCAAGCAATCAAAAATACCGATTTAATTCTAGAATAATTAGTGACCACATAAATTTAATGTTAAAAACTCTTTTGAAACTATCTTGGTGTTAAATAACACCTTAAGCGCATAAAGCACCGCAAATCCCATCCCTTGGTGTTTAGAATACCTTAAGTGCACTTAGGCACCGCAATATATTTTATTCTTGTGTACTAAGACATTTAATAGCTCAACTCTCATGCTTAAAGCATAAATAAAAATTATATGAACCATTATAAAATTCCCTTTTATAATCCAAACAAAACTAAACATTTAGTTTAATTAAACATGCTCTTAATCATGCCAATAATAAAAGTGTGGTTCATTTTCAACATGCCAACATAATTAATTCCAATCATCTATTCACCTCAAATAATCCATACTTCACAAATCAATCACCATCATCAATTCAATCAACAATTCCAACCAATACCTATCATGATACTACCCTAAAATTAATTAAACAAAGCCTAGTATGCTTTTACACACTTAAATAAATACCGAGTACGTGAATGTATCTCGAATATAATATCAAAATCGGCACGGCTACACGAAATCACTCACTTTGAAGTCTCCTAAAACCCAAAATTACAAAGAGATATTAATACCTATTCATAATAAATTTCCAGCAATATATAAACTCTTTAAATCACTTTTAAATCCTCTAAACACATGCTAAAAACTAATTTAAACCACCTACTTTTATTCCCAATTAATGGGTAATTAAAAATCCTTTCAAGAAACATAATTTTAACCTTTATATAAAAATTACAGTATTATAAAAACACATATACTTGCTGTAATTTTAAATAAAACATTAATTTCAATAGTTTTCATCCACTACAATCAAATCCCATCAATAAACAATAATTTAGAAACCTAGAGTTTTCAATTTGGGGATTTTTAATTCAAAAACTAAATCTGAAAATTAAATGCGTACTAATCATTAAACAATAATTAAATAAAGGCTAGATTAAATTAAAACAAAGAAGATTATTTTTTTTTGTTGGAGTTGCGCACGCACACACCACGGCAGAGCTGCTGCCGGCGCTCGATGGTGGTTGTGGCCGGCCGGTGGGTGGCTGTGGTGGTGGCCGGCCACGCGTGGGTGACGTGTGTGGTGTGCGGCGTGGAGGTGAGAAAATAACAGGGAAGCGGGAAAAATTAAGGGAAAAGAAAAATAAGAGGAGAGATAGAGATTTTACCTTTGGGTATTCTCTACCTTAGGCAAAGTTTAATTTGCTCATATGATGGGTATTTATACCCTCTTTCAAAACCCTCATAACTTAATTTTTTTTCTACCCTTAATGATTCCTGCTCCAATTCAAGGTAGTCAGTGACTTTCTTTAAAACTCCATTGAATTTCCTTTTATAAAATAGTTTTCCCCAAAGTTTCTAAATAATAAAATAAAATATTTTCAAAACAATTAAATAAATAAAAATGGACCTTTAATTAAAATAAACATTTTTAAATTAATAAAATACCATAAATAATTCATTTCAAATTATTTAAATACTTTATAAAATAATAATTTAAATCAAAATACATATTAAAATACGAGGTATTACATCTACAAATAATATTTAATACTCTGTTGTTTTGCATCAAAAATATAAAAAAACTTTTTTTTTCTTTTATATGCATCACTTTAGTTTGTGCATTTTTCTTGTAAAAATAAATGTTATTATATAATACTTCATATATTTTGTTGGATTAATCACCTTGTCTACTTTAATTAATCTAAACTTATTATACGAAGTAATTTTTACCAATTAACAATTAAGAATTAACAATATCGACGGTCAAAATTATGTCTTAATAAATGTATTAATGAAAATCTATATCACTATATATTCAAAGTTCCTAAAAGTGTTTATGTGCCACGTAAATCTATATAATCATTGTATCACATCATCATTTAAGTAGCATTGCGCCATGTCACCACTAGCATTGTAACAATTATACCATGTCATTAGTAATGAGAAAAAAATAGCTCACAAATTTCGAACACTGAAGCTCATGGATATATGATATATCAAACCTTTTACCATCTTAGCCAATATAAACTTATGTTTCCTATTGACCCTATATACACATAAATATATCTTTAAGTAAGCAAAAAAAAAGATAAAAAAAAAAAAAAAATTAAGTTGTATCAAAAAAATAAAGAGGAATATCTTTTTTTTTTTTTTTTTTTTTTTTTTACAAACATTATGTTTTAAAGGAGCGACCCGATGCAACGCCGAACCACAAACTAGTGATGCATTTAAAAGAAGATAAGAGTATTAGATTTGTGAATATATCCCATCCAAAGTCAAAACAGAAGAAAAAATATATACTTTTTAAGGAAAATGTCTCATCCAAAGTTCAAAAAATCATACATTTACATAAGAACAGACAGAGGAGCCAAGTCTATGTATGTACAGGATGCCTGGATATCAAGTAGCTGCCGGAGTTAGTGATTGTTTACCACGAATATGAGCAAATTCTTCAATACTGAACAAGAGAGGAAGATGATAAAATGGTTAGCCGACATTAATTTGCCACAAACAGCAAGAGCAAAATTAAACTACAAGCCAACACAACTGTGCCCTATGGTTGATTTAAAGCCACGAAAACATAAGAGCACAAACCAACGTGCATGAAAAACATCATATTCTCAAGCTGTTACACGAAACTAGAACAAACATACCCAACACAAAATAAATTCCACTTAAAGGGGGTGGATGAAATTTGAACTCATGACTTCTCTTGACAAGTTAATATACTCTATCAAAATATACCTAGTTGTTATTTTCACACAATGTAAAATTGCTCCAATTGTTGCACTTTATACTCCATTCGTTCTTTTCAATCGCAAAGTTTGCAATTTTGCTCTATTCATACACTCTTTTATCCGTCTTTTGTGGTTTACATAATTAAAAAATGCAATAAAATGAGATCTTGCTAGATTCATCTCAATATATATAGAGTATTATCTAAGATCTCGTTTTGTCCAACCTTATTTTCATTTATTTCAAAAAAAAAAAAAAAAAAAATGTCAAGATGAGATAAATTAGTTTAGATAGTTCTAATAAGGATTAATAAGTTTACCCAAATTCAATTTACAACGAAAATAAGTTCTAATAATATCTAATAAGTTTAGATAAGATACGATGAGATAAGTTCATAAGTAAAAATCAGGGAAAAAACACCCTAATATAACTTTATAAATGTTACTAAAACTATAATTAAAGATATTAATGGTATAAAATGTGTGTTGGTAAGCATGAAACGAGGAAATACTAAAATAGTATTGTTATGCAAATACATAACAAATACTAAAATATTAAAATCACATGGAAAAGAGAGAAAGGGGGAGAGAGAAAGGTGATTGGGACCACTTTTAATTGTACCACTGAAAGTTTATATAATACCATTGGTTGTTTAGTGATACTATATATGTACGTAGTTAGTACCACTGAATGCATATATAGTACCACTACATACATACATAGTACCACTGAATATTCAATGGTACTATTGATCACTCAATGGTACTACTCTAAAGTCAGAATACACATTACGTCTAATTACGCCCATACCCCTTGTTATGCAATTGTTTATGCATACCAATACTCCCTTTAAACTCCCTCAAACGAGGAAGTACTAATGTAACTATAAACATTGCAATTAAATGATGCAATTAATAAAGGGCGAAGTAGTATAAAATCCCAATTCATTCGACCAACTATATTGTTAAATCACGCACAACACCAACTATTGGCAGTTAATTCAAATGGAGGAACTAATAGATAATCTATCCTTACCACAATTCCACAAAGCTATTAGCCATAACCAGATAACTATATTCACTTAAGAGTTAAAACTATAAGTCTGTTACCCAATAACTGACAGAGAGGCAGAAAGAAGAGTTAAAAGTGTTCATTTTCAATTCTATATACAGCAGTAGATGATCGGCATCTTGTCTTAGCCTCTGAAATTGACTTCTAAGGATCCAAGATCATGACAATGATCTCTCATCTGAGATGAGCATCTCAGCTCTGGGCCCCATGATCAGATATTTTCAGGTATTAAGTTCTTTTATTGTTCTTTTTGGGGAAAAAGTCTAAGCTCTTCAGGTAGGGTTATCAAGTAAGTAGAAATCTTCTATCTAAGTTTTACCAACATTTTCCTTGATTGCCAACATGTCTAGAATAAAAACTTACTCTTCAAAGCACGAACTCGGATCATATAGGTATCGTTTGGATGGACGTTGGGCTTAGACACACCAAGTCCAAGCGAAACGTCAATCTGAACCGAAAGAGGGCCGTGTGGCACACACATGTGCATGCACATTTCTGCAGGGCCTTGCATGCGTGGGGCTGCTGGCTGTTTGTGGCCATAGCTAGTAGTGATACGAACCTTAGTGAGGCCTCGAGTGCTGGCCTATGGGTGTGTGTGGCAGGGAGTCGGCTTAATGACCTGTTCTAGTCTTGTTACTTGATGAGTTGATGGTAAGTTGTATTGACATATAAGGAATCCATTAGCCTCCATCAAGTACCCTAGCCCCAATCTAAACACCAAACTGATGACCTAGAGAGAGAGAGAGAGATTCATACTTGCCTTGAGTACTAAGCTAACACGTAGAAGACGGATTCAATAGTGTTAGTTTCAAATCTTGAATCGTTCACTTGCAAACTTTACTAATCTCATACATCACTCTCTCTGGCCTCCAACAACAATGGCAACATGTCAACATTTCAAGCCCTAAAATTCACACCAACTTTAGCTTTCTCTCTCTCCTCTGACCACCACCACCTTTGCTCTCGCCTTATGCTTCTGTTGTTGTAGCTAGCCACACCAGCACTCACTATTTCCAAAGATGAAAGAAAAAAGGACATAGAGGGGAATCACCGGATCGGAGGTTGTTTGCTCGCTTTGTTGAATTGTGCCAAATGGCTCTCCTCGCCACACACTCACCTCCACTTTTGCTTGAAGCTTTAATGTTGGATACAATAGCGGTCAACAATAAGTGAAATAAAACCCCATGAATACTGAATTCTGAACTCAAGCCTACACCGATGATGCCAATCCCTCCCTTATATTTCGGCCAACATTCATCCAAACTCCTTTATTCTGTTTCTCTCTTCATCAGGTATCCATTCTCAATTGATTTTCCAGAATGAACTTGTCATAACATTAAAAGAGGATATGGCGTGTCACATATAAGTCTTAAACAATCAGGGAAAATCTTTCTTCTTTTGGCACATCTAGTGAAAATTGAATTATCTTGAAAGAAAGACTAGATCATTAAACATCTTTAAATAAATTAATGTTTTAATTGTTTGGGCCTGAAAAAACTAGCTTGGTTAAAAGTTCAATGTTCAAAGCTCAACTCAATTCGTTATAATTGTCCAACTTTACTATTCCAACACCTGGATTTATACATAGGCAAAACCGATAGTTTTCTCTACTCCATCTTGGACTAGGAAATCCTAAACGACCTATGGCACTAATATCAAACAGCAAGTGTAGACTAAATCTCTCAAGGCAAGGCACTACACACGTCCTAAACTCCAAAAAGTCCTAAGAGACATAAAAACAAAAGTAAATACAAATGAACAAACAAAGTCACATGTAAAACCATACTTTAGGAGTATGATCAAACCAAGTGGTGCTTATGAAATCTATAGACATTACACAAGCCAGCTAATAGAAGTGCAAAGTATCTAAGACTCTCAATGAACAGCTTGGGGTTGAGCTCGAAAAAAGCTTGTCAATATAAGTTTATTTGATAAATTAGTTGAATAAACTATCAGAATAAGTTTGGAATCTTGTTTATTAAATGAGCTTGGAGAACAGCACATTTAATTATGCTCACAAACAAGCCTTTTCAACTTCATAAAAAAAAAAAAAAAAAAAAAAAAAATTAAAGCTATTATTCATGGATGTTTATTTCAGTTAGATGGCATATAAAATATAAATATGTATTAGACTTTAACAAATTTTACTGAGATGTGTATTTATAATAAGGTTTTGTTATTTACACTTTGATTTTGAAATTGTCAAATGTCGAATGTACATAGCAATCAATGATACAACTTTGTTTATGACAAATGTTTGTTAGTGAAAAAAAATAAAAAAATAAAAAAAATGTTTATAAACTTGGCTAAAACGAGTCAATCACAAACTTTGCAAGCATGATAACCTATGAAGTTAACTGAGTTTAAACAAATTTTGAGCTCAGTCAAGAGCTCGAGTACACTAAGTTAAATGAATAATAATATGGTAGTACTCAAATCAGCCCGACTCATTCACATCGCTACCCACTAACTATCCATGGCCGAATTTACGCAGGAGACAAATGCAGAGTTGTTATAGAAGACTAGACAAAAATCCAAGGCACCGAATGATGTCAACAAGTTCATATCCAATTAAAAGTTCAGTCATTCTACTGGATAGCCATTCCTTTTTTTTCTTTTTTTTTTTTTTTTTGAAGAGTAAATATCATGCATCTTAATTCTAGTGTAGGCAAATAACTGTACCTAAGGGTTAGACATTTTACTTACAACTATTATTTTTTGCAGAGTAAAAATCAGCCACTGCCCTATGGTCAACAGTTATCCCATCTGCCACTGCATCCAAACAGTCAAATAAAACTGTTATGAGACAAGTATTTGAAACAACCAAAATCAGCTATTGTCATATGTTGTCAATAATAAGAGAAATCGATTAATGAGAATCTAAGGAGTAATAAAAGTTACACAGGGTTCCTTCATGGGAATAAACCTTTCATTTCTAGTAGCCAGAAAATATTTAGTTATGCCCTAAACTATATTACCTTTAGAGCTGGTTCACCCTTATTAGTGTTTTCAGACTGCTTTTCTTTTGCTGCCTGTGCACGGACAGCTTTTCCTATAGCCGACTTTTCAAAGTCCTGCTGCCTGCATTTAAGTCCAGAAATTTCATGATGATCTAAATAGCATTGGACATTTGGAATGGTCTTAACACATGAGTTTTCTGACATAAAACAAGTAAACATACAGGAATAAAAAATAAAAAAAATTGACTCATTATACGTGAGATGTACACATTTCATGATTTTGACTGAATTTTTGCAAAACCTTTGAGTAATCAACTTTATAACACATTGTCACATTGATAATGATATCCTGTTATTTCTTTTACTTAGGCTGGAACTAAAAAATGAATTAAAGAATAGGGTAAATTTACTTCATTTATGATACCCATTCATTTAAAAGGGGCTGCTCAGTTATGCTCTGTATAACCATTCATGCAAGCAATTATGTTTCTCTTAGACTTTGGTAAGTTTATTCTCATTTTGTTCCAGTATTTACCCTACTCATAGTTCGAGGCATTAAATTTATCAATCTTTTGCCTAAGGATTCTGACATATTTCTCGGCTGAGGAAGGAGGATTTAAGTATAGGAAGTGCGTTTCCTTATACGAGGCAAAAGTCATCTGCCTCAAGATGAAATTGAAGAACTTATGTTAATCCTTACCAGATCTATATGTTGCTTTTTCTTTGGTAGATTTCCAATTGGGTTAGAATCCACTGAGATGTTTACTACATACCAGAAAATGGTAACAAACAAAATGTTAATTATTCATGGTAAAGTAAATTGGATCAGGTTTTCAGTTTTTCTTCTACAATACCTCTATTTGACGAACATAAAAAAGGTTCACGAATAATAATTTGTTTAGAGATCTTTCAAAAGATTGACAATTGAATGCACCAAAAAAAATTCCTCAAAAAATGTTACCAACTGCTGTAGACATTTCAACAACTAGCAGTGCTTAAACGCTGCATGTCAATCGTGCCAATGCAGCAGCTCTTTATTGTGAGATGGGATTAACCTTTCCCCAAAATATCCTTGAAGCAAATCTTGGATTAAGAGCTGTATAGGATTTGATTTACTTGTCATATAGCTTGCTTACAATAGAATCGAAATTTACTTTTTTTTTTAATTGTAATTGAAGTTTACTTAAGTTAATGATTAGGCTTTGAAAAAAAAAATATCATTGAGCTTTGAGCTTGGATAGCAATTGGCAAGTACTGTTAAAGGTTTTAACTTTTAATTTTAAATTTTTTTTTTTGAAAACAATTTTATTTTTTTTTATTTTTTTTTATTTAATCACACAGCGCTTGTTTGATAACCCCCCCCCCCCCAAAAAAAAAAAGGGCTTGTTTGGTATTGTTTTAATTTTCCTATGTTTTTCAATCAAAACTAGAAACTAGTTTTTATTTTTTTTAAAGCTAATATAAAACCATAACTAGTATATGGAGTATCAATTTATTCTTCTAGTCAATCAAAACTCACATGATACTGTCTTGTTAGAAGCTACCATCTCACACCATATATGTAGTGTCCAGTGCTCAAACTTCTCTGTAAATTGCTTGCTTCACTCCTCATTTACCTTTCTTCATATTCAAACTTCTCTGCAGATGGTAGACAGAGTGTTTCAGGTGTGGGTATGGCCGTATGGGTATATGGGTGTGGGCATGTTTTAGAAAACGACAAAACTAATAAAACGGTTTAGACTTTTCTGCTTTATATTGGTGACTCAGGAGGAAACACAAATGATTACCACTCTATAGCTACCTTATTTTGGGATACTAAGATTTGTACTCATAACTAAAAACAAAATCATTCTTGAGAAAACACAACAAATTCAATTGCAATTGCTGCTGGTTCAATGAGGTTATAAGTATTGTTCGTGCTCAATATTTTAGAGTTTTCTTGCCCTTGCTTGCTCTTAGAGAGCAGGAAAATTCTTTGCAATTCTATGAGGTTAAGGAATAAGTATAGCTATTAAAGTATTCTCTAATGGCTTGTTCTAAGGACAACAATGGACCCTTAAGTGTGAAGCTTGTTTTATGGAGGTTGAGCCAGCAAGGTTTGAGTTAAGAACTGTCTGGAGTTTGACGCAGCAAGGTCTAGTTGAGGATTGCTTGTAGGTTGACGCAGCAAGGTTTGAGTTGAAAATTTCCAGGATGTTGGCCACAACTAATTCTGGAAAATGATTGTATGTATATCAGTATATGGAGTAAGCTCAATGTCTATGAGTAGAGCCTCAGCTCAACGTCTTCAGCTTAGACTGAGGTTCTACGCTTTGACTGCGCTTGAACCTGAGTTTGAGCTGGGCATTGCCATGGAGACAGGATCAACCACAGCACCAATCCACCCGACCCCCCAATTTTTTTTATGGTTATTTGGCAAAATTGTGTTTTTAATTGTAAAATCAACAATTCCAATTAATGGTTCCTCTCACAATCCATAAATTTGAACATCATACATCTTCTCAAAAATTGAGGGAATCAAGAAATTAATAGCATGCTCTAATAAAATTCAGTCATTGAGATAGGATGGATAACAAGCCCAACCTCTATCTTATATAGAAAATAAAAACAAAAAATCAAATCATTCATCCCAATAAACACAAATTGTAATTTCACAAATAACAGAATTTCAATCAATGAAACAAAAGAATAAAATAAAAATGAATCAAAAGTGTAAGAAGATAGAAAATGTTTGAATTATTAAGAAAATGAAAAAAAGTGACCTTCTTTGGGCAGCTTCGGCGGCTTTAGCGCGAGCTTCAGCAGATGCAACGCGATCCTGTTCTCTTTTTTCCTCCTTAGTCTCACCGTCAAAGCACGAGCACACGCTTCCCATCTTTTTTTCTCTCTTTCTGCTTCCTGTACCGCTGTACCTGAAATCGCTAACTGTTATAGCGGGTTGACTTTGATTATGGGTGGAACATGGAGTCGTTCTATGTTGTCATTTTTAAATTTCATACTACTCCTTCCGTTTTCGCATTAGTTGCAACAGTAGGCTTGGCTCATAATTTAAGAAAATTATATACTAGGTTTGTAGTCTTATAATATAAAGTATTGTTATTAAGAGATAGAAATTAAAAAAAAAAAAAAATAGTGTGGGTGGAGTTGGTAGGAAAGAAAAATAATAATATATTTGTGAAAGTGGGGTTAGTGGAAGAGAAAGAGAGAGAAATTATAAAATAATGGTAGGTCCTTTTCAAATATAGTAGTATTACAACTAATATGAAACGGCCGAAAATGGAATGTGTTGCAACTAATGCAAAACGGAGGGAGTAGATTGATATATTTTGTTCGACTTCTTCCGTTCTTTGTGGGCGGTGGCTCCCTAATGCTAGACTGGTTAACTTAGTCCAAGTTATTTTTATTTACTGTTTTTTAATTGAAAATTCTAATCTACTTATATGACTTTTGACTATTACAATTTCTTAAAATAAATGGCTGAGATTATTTGCTTTTTTATTCATTTTTTGAGTTAAAATAAATCACTTTTTTCTACCAAAAACTAATTTCAAGAATCAAACCACTCTGATTTAAGAAATATATATATATATATATATATATATATATATATATATATATATATATATATCAAACCACTCTCAACTAAAACACTCTCCGCCCTCTTCATCGTTCTAAAGAATCCATCACCATAACTATCTCGTGTTTCAGGGTTTTCTGATGTTTCATGCGGGAAAGTTACGTCACCAAGACTGGATCTTCGTATGCCTATACTTGCAACAAACGGAAGCTCCGGTTGTTCGAAGTTCCGCCTCCAACAATCAAGTTAGTACGTGTCGAAGTTGGATAAAGTGCAGAAAGTAAAGTAAATCTTGTCGAATCCCGAGATCAGGTGTTTCTCTGTTGTAAGAGAATAGATTGATGTAATAATTAGGTGAATTGTAATAAATGAACATGTCCCCAAAAAGGGGGTAAATGTCCCTATTTATAGGACATTGGGAAATATGCTCTTTCGTAGGTCACTCAAACCTACGTTGGTGGGCTGCGGCATTTTATGACGCCTTGGGAATTGGGCCCTTGAAGGCCGCCATTTCCCTTCAGCATGGCATGCCACGTGTCTTGTCCTGGTTGGCCCATTTTGGGCGCCTCCTAAGGTGACATGTGTCACGTTCTGGCTGGTTCACTTGGCTTGGGTATTTTTACCATAATCATTTGCCCTTAACAGAGGTGACGTGGCGTGCCACGTAGCGCCTGTGACACTTATCACGCATGCAGTGGTGGCGGTTTTTTAACCGTTTCACCTTTCGGGGAAATTACAGGGATGCCCCTGAAATTTAGCCCAATATAAATAGATTTTACCCCCCCCCCTCATTTTCGCACGTTCACATAAAATCTTCGAGAGAATTTTGACTTTTTGAGAGAAGTACTCCTGCCGCTTGTGTTCTGTCCGCCTGCATCGCAGCCGTCATAAATTTCAATAGTACCTTCTTTTTGTAAGGTAACTGCCTGCTCTTCTTCTCTTTCTTGCTTTATTTACCGTATATGTTTGCTTTTCTTCTTTTCAAAAATAGTTTCACAAACACACACGGCACGACCTAGAATAGGAGTCAGCCGGTCACTTGGGACGACTTAATCTAGGATTAGTAGTGCTGATTGCCCATACTTGGACTCCCCCCTACAAACATCCCCGAATCCGATCGTCTTTGTGTCTGTGCAGGACACTACGGCCAAAACGAAGAGAACTCCCCCCATATGTTTATACTCAAGGTATATGCGTTCCAAGAGTTTTGGTGTGTATCCTCTTACACTTTACGTGATTTACCAATTTAACATGTGATGACTCCAACTAATCAATCAAAAACAAACATTGCAACAATCAACACATACTTCCAATTCATTCTTGAATTAATTAGTGAGCAAATACTATTTATTTTAATTAAGGTTCCTTGCCTAATTTTGTGCACAAAATTGCACGATTACTACCTTGGTGCATAAAATGCACTACTTAATTTCCTTGACTCGAACTTCACTTAACATGAGCGAGTAAATAAATAAATTAACTTCTTGACTCAACACCAATTATAAATGGGTGAGAAACAAATTCATGAATCATGCTCAATAATTTTAATTTTAGCTCTTTTAAACATACACAAGCCTTGCTTATTAAATTCATGCTTCTTTTTGATACTTGAAAATAAAACATACTTCCATGACTCATACATATTCAATTTGTATCATGCCTTAAATATCATATTCACATGCTTGCATAACAATTCATGCTCATCCAACATTAATTCCAAACATATATAATCAACCAAACATGCTACTAATTCATCACTTAAATCATACTTTACAATCATAGCATGATACTACGCATACACAAATATTCTTGTGCACATACGTACCTTGAATAATGCTTAAACTCGGCAACACTCGCTAGAAATCACCTAGCTCGAAACTTCCTACAAATAAGAATACATAGCGATAAGTAATCCATTATTCTCACAAACTTCCAGCAACTATAATACACTTTAATCCTTACTAATTAACCCAATTTAATGACATAAAAGCCATAAAACCTTTTCTTTAAGTGGGTACTTTAAATCCTTTCAAAAGGACTTAGTTTTTATGACTTAAATAAAATTCCAACACACTTATTTAATATAAAACATCACTAATAGACTAGGAAATCATATTTAAATCATTAAAACCTTTTCTCCTTTTATGGGTAATCAAACCCTAACAAAATAGTTAAAAAGTAGTGTGTATAATTAAATTCCTGCATTAAATTGAGGGCTTTAAATTCATTAAAAACATGTTTAAATCATTAATTAAACAACAAACACAACCTAGGATCAAACCCTAACCATAAACAATAAATTCCCAAAATCTACGGTTTGTAAATTAGGGTTTTTGATTAAATAAAAATCTGAAAATTATAGGAATGATTTAACAACATCAAATATCCAAAATCAATACCAAAACGTAATCAAAATCATGCTTTAAATTAATAAAAACAACTAGAACTAAACTTGGAAGAGAAAAGAGTTTTTATTTTTTTATTTTTTATTTTTTTTTATAATTTTATAATAATACCGAACCAACACAAAAAGGAGAGGGAAGGAGGGTGGCCGGCGGTGGTCGCTGGCTGCTGCTGGTGGCCGGCGGTGGTCGCTGGCTGCTGCTGGTGGCCGGCGGTGGTCGTTGGCTGTTGTTGTGGCCACTGGTGGTCGTCGGTGGCTGGTGGTGGCACCGGTGGCAGTCGGCCGTGAGGGAAGGAGAAGAGGGACAAAGAGGCGTGGGAAAAGAGAGGAAAAAGAAAGAGAAAAAGGAGAGAGAAAATAAAATGAAATATTTTGGGATTTTTTGAAATCTGACAATTCTGATTTTTGAGTGAAAAACCTTGGGGTTTTGAAGTATTTAAAACTCTCCTTTTTGAGTGACAATTCCGATACTTTAGCTCAGCTATTGTCTGAAGTTAGGCAAACCGTCATGACGGGGAAAAAATCAGATCTAAAGAACAAAACACCCATAACCGGCAATACCCAAACACCACTGTAGACACCTGATTATGTCTCCCAAAAAATCAAACCCAGTGATGAGTACCTTTCACGTCTTTGATTATCGAGTTAGGTGAGGAGTTGAAAAGTCTCGTGAATTCCCATAAGCCTAACCATGTCTCTAACCTTTCCTAAAAAATTTTAAACCCAAAATCATTCATTTTGTGTCCCTCAAAAACATCCATTTCGTGTCCTCTTTATAAAAACATCCAAACTAGTTTATTTTAGTCCATAATCTTGGTCCAATTATTAATTGTTATAAGCCTAAATCTGACTTATAACAAAAAAGTTATGGCCAAAATACTAAACCAAGCCCAAACCGAGCCTATTCTGCGACCCAATGACCATGTGGAGGGTCCATTAACCTTAACCTCATTCCTAAACCGATTAGGATTTATTATAAGCTTCTAGAATTCTCTAGAAGGTTGTTTTTTATCCTTAATCCCTAAAGATTTATTGTTATCTTCTACAATCCTCTAGGAGGTTCTAATTTATCCTGTTTTCGAAAAGATAAAGATTTAAGAATTTTACTTTGGGTAAAACATTTGTTATTTTTAATGATTTTAATCTCGATCAAACTAGAATACGTACGGAAATTTGATTAACCCAATTCTGACTCTTTTTTCTGACCCTTCGACCTTTTTTTTCCCTATAACTAGAGGTTTTCACCCCGTTTTCATTCACCAACAATCATCATCTAATCCCCTCTCTAAGCTAAAAGCTTTTGTCTCTCACTCTCTCTTCTTGATTTCTTAGCCTAGCCTAAACACATCCCAACACCTTCTTGATATCACACATCACACCTCCTTCACGAGCTTTGAACACTCCAAGCCAATCTCGAAGTTGCCTTCGACCTCGACGTGAAAGGTTGATAGTTTTGAGGATTTGGTCCTAAATCTATATTTCAATTCTTGTTTGATATATTTGTTTGATTTAATTTTACTTGAAGTTACTAACGTGTGTATTATTTTGATAGAAAGAGGTACGAGGCATCAAAGTAAGTAATTTGATTACTTAATTATTATTTTAATTCCTAGTATCATGTTAGGATGTTTATTTTGATTCCTAGTATCATGTTTAGGGTGTTAATTACTATTTCTAATGTCATGTTGATTTCTAGTATCATGTTTAGGTTAAAGCTTTGATCCTTATTATTAATCCATTTAGTATCATGCCTAGGATCTTGCTATTAATCATGTTTTGATGATTTTGCTTATGATGATGATTGTTGTGTCAATAATTATATGTTGCTTGATTGTTCTTGATTATTGTTATTGCTTGATCACGCCCCTTCTGCAGGTTTACAGGGAATTTGTACTTGAAATCACGCCTAATAAGATAATTAATAATTTATTTTAGGCTAATATGATTTTAATTCAAGTGATCGCCAATAATAGATTTT